CGGGGGGAATCGGGCGGGTGGCTCTGGGGGTGCTATCGGTGCCTCTGACCCATGGGGGGTCCAGGGTGTGCGGGGAGCAGCCCTGCGCCCCACGCCAGCGGTGCCGCCAGGTGCCCCCGCCTGTCCCACCCGCTGGTGTCATCAGCGCCAGGCAGCTGGAATGATGATTTCACCCTTTGTGACTCCAAAAAGCCCTCCAGAGATCTCCAGTGCTGCTGCAGACCCCTCCACAGGAAATTAAACCGCCGGGAAGGGTTTGCTCGTCCCCCGTCTCAGGTTTGCAAAGTCCCTTTGGCAGGGCTGGTCCCCCACAGGGGATTGCAGAGTGGGCACGTGAAGGCTGTTTTTGACCCTGCGGCTGTTTTGCGTAGAAGTAATTTCCCCCTTAATTTGACATCCTAATTCCCTGCTGTTTTATGGGGTTGGAAATGGCTCTCGGTAAAACCTGCGGTGTTTCCTTAGCTCGGCTCCTGCCAAGAGGTTTGGGGAGGAGGCGGCAGCACCTTGTGCCACAGGGGAGGGTTTCCCGGCACCCCGGCGTGGGAGGTGGGTGCGTGTCCCCCCGGCGCGGTTCAGACCTGACCCCACCAGGGCGACAGGGACCAGTTAAACGTTACTGACCCTCTTTAAACGAATGTCCTAATTGCAAAGTTGCTGGGGTTAGTGGTGCTGTGGGTCTCGCAGCCCGTGGTTAGCGGCAGCATTGGTAAAAATAGAAGCGGTCAAAAAATGGATTTTTATTTTTACTCTGTAAAGTGTGTCCTGCTCAGATGTTTTGCTTTCATCTTGAGTTGAGGCAAGGCAACTCACTGCTTCCACAGAACAGGAAGAAAAGCTTTGTTGTGGGTCAGCTGGGAAGCTCCAGCGCAGCAAGCTGCAAACACACTGTTTGGCTTTGACAACCCTCCCTTCCCGTTTGTTTTTTGTTTTTTGGGTTTGTTTTTTTTTTGAGGAGTTAAAGGTCACCACAATGTCATCCTGGAGCAAAATAACAAGGTTGCATTCCAAAAAAGATGTTGAAACAGGCTTTGCATGAGCAGGCACCTCTGCGGGCTGCAGCTTGCGAGCGCGAGGCAGCAGGCGTCTGCGGGGGGCTTGGGAGACGGAGCCAAACCACCGACCAGGGAACGTGCATTTTGTTAACAAGGCAAGAAAACAGAGCGGCCAGACGGGCACAGAGCGAGATCCTGTTTCCAGAGCCCACCCTGGCCCACGGGTCTGCTGGGCAGTGCCTGCAAACACCCCTCTCATCGTCTTCGTTGAAGTGGTACCAGAGCAGGTGATGTCCGTCAGCCCAGGGCATCACAGGGGTTTGATCCTCGACCAGCCGGAGCGACCAGAGCAGGACTGAATCCACCGGCTCGGACACACAGCTTGCACATCCCTCCCAGGCAGAAGGGGGGCCAACAGCCCCCACCCCCCCCAGCCACAAAAGGCTGCAAAACCTTTCTTAAAAACCAGATTATTTCTCTACTGGCAGCAGCAGTGACAGCTCCTTGTCATGAGCTCCAGCCCATGAGGGGAAAAGAAGGAAACAGACTAAAAATAGAGCAGCTTCGAAGTAGTTCATAAATAATAAACCGGGCTCCTGAAAGGGAGATGAAAATCCACAAACTCCCTAAAGCCCTGGGAGCTGCTGTCAGTTTTACATGGAGTGAGGAGGTGGCTGTCCCCGCAGCAGCAGTATCGGCCATTTCTTCACCTTAAAACCCTAAATGAGAGCTGGGAAGGAAAACATCGTGTATTTCCTCTCTTTTTTCAGAGAACATGAAAACTTAAAAAAATTATTTTCCCAAATAATTTGCAAGTCCTGGTCGTTGGAGGCTGCATTTTATTCCCCCCCACCCCCCTTGAGCTTTGCAGTCCCCAGATAAGGCACACATGAGACACAGGCATGCCTCTGGTAGTGACAGGCATTTGCATTTCCCTCGCTGGCATCCCAAAAATTCCCAGTGCTGAGAGGGAGGGAGCTCGTTTGGGCTCACCATACCCTGTCTGTATTTCCAGAAGCATCCTGCCACTTGTGGCTTCGCTCAGCTGTGCTGGTTTTGGCTGAGACCCTTCTGCAGACCTTCCTCCCCTCCATCCTGGTGCAGTCCTGCACTGCTTCTGGTTCACCCTAAAGCCAAGGAGGGGTTGGTAGAGGGGATGGAGGTTTATCCCAAACGCAGCATCTTCCCACCACCATCCCCACCCTGCCTTTCCTGCCCAGTTTTTGCTGGGCTCAGCTGGCCTCACGTCACGCGTGCTGGTGGGCGAGGGCCCCGTTCCCCTCCTGGGGGTCAGGATCGGGCCCTGGGTGTCACGGTTGGGGTGGCTGGGGATGCCCCCGTCCCGTGCCGGAGCCCCAGCTGGCGAGTGAGGCCTCCGTGGGACTTGGCCACGGGACAAGTCGTTTAGCTAAACCTATCGCCCGTTCAGGCTAATCGCTTCCTAATGCCGCCATAATCCCATTTAAAGCAACTGGCAGCCTAGAAAGTTGCTGGCTCCCAGGGGAAGGTTAAAATGACCCGACCGGCAATGAAGAAGTTCCCCCAGCTGCAAGGTCTGGCCCAATACATGCTCCAAGGTGGATATAAAATGCTGTGTGTTTTGCTGGGCCTGTGCACAGATGCCGCTCTGGGTTTACACCTGGGCATCCGTCTAGGGAAGCAGCAGGGTGTAGGTGAGGCTCAGGACCCCTTGCAGCTTTCCTGGTCCTTTTCTGGGGAGAAAGATCTGTCTGAGGTGCAGAGGAAAATGTGCTCCAGCGTGCCACGCCTGTGGGAGGAAGAAGGTTCAGGATTTCATTTTAGATCTCTTTCTTCCTTTTTTTTAAGGAAAGAAACCGATCCCTTTAGAGGGAGTCGCTGCAGCCAGCTGGTGCCGGGCAGATACCGGCCAGCTGCTCGGCGGCTCTGCAGCTCCTCTCCTTCCCCTGCTCCTCCTGCGGACGGGTTTGTTTCTCTCTCTCCCGTGTCCTTACTTTACTTTTCCCCTCTGCATCCTCGGTGCTGTGCTTGGCCAAGTCCCGGCAAAAGTAGCTTTTCTCCCACCCGGAGCCGTGGCAGGGGTCTGCGTGCATGGCAGGAGCATGCCGCTCTCCTCCCGCCCGGGGCTGCACAACGCACACCCCGTGTGCACCCCAAAACTAGCCACGAGCCGCCAGTACCCCAGCCCCGTTTGGCCCATCAGGGGCTGCGAAGAAGCAGGGATTTACCCAGGTTTGCTACAAAGCATCGCCCGGCTGGGGCAGGCTGGGGACGGGGAGGGGACGGTGCCGCGGATGAGCTGAGTTAAATCTGCCAGGGAGGCAGTTTGATTAAAACTAGGAGCGTCTGCCTGGAGTTCACTACATGGTGTCTTTACGGCTCCTAGTTAGCCCTGTCCCTTGAAGACATTGTCAGTGGGCTGATCTAGCTCCTGCTCAGCCTCCTCCTACCCCCTCCCAGTCTCTACTCCTGCCTCTCCGAAAGTCCTCCCCACAAAAAAAAAAAATTAATGGTGGCAATGATTTGGTCCTTGTTGGCCCAGGGTTGTTCCCTGCATGGGGCTCAGGCTGTTCTCCACACGTGTTGTCTGCCCCGGGTAACTGGAGATGGTGTCTGGTGCTGGGTGTGCAGCACCTGGCACGTCGCCGCCTGGCAGCGGGGGGACGGGGGGGCTGCTGAAATTGAGACGGCAAAGGGATGACAAGCTGTCCCTTGATTCAGAGGTTCTTCTGAGACTATTTATATCCTCTTCTTTTTCAGAGACACGTTCTCTGGGACTCGGTGGCAGTGGGAACTCTCCTAACAGTCCATTTTCTTCTCCCGAGAGCCCCAGGCTCGCGGCAAAGAGATCTTCCTTCCCACTCCTCTGCAAAAAGCTCTAGAGAAAAACGAGCACCATGTACACCTTCCTACCTGAGAACTTCATGCCGGTGAAGCAGAAGCCCTCCAAGGAGCTGAGGCCTATGCTGGGGGCTGTCTTGCTGGGTTTCACCCTGTTCATTGCCGCCGTGGTGGCCTGGTGCTACTACACCGTGTCCCTGCGGAAGGCGGAGTGGCTCAAGACGGAGCTGATGGACCTGCGGGCAGACGGCTTCGTCATCAGGAACCAGCACGGGGAGGTGGTCTTCCGGCTGGCCTTCTGTTCGGGCAGCCTTGACCTGGAATCGTGCTCCAAGGAGGGCGAGATTTTGAGCTGCACGCGGTCGAGCGGGGGGCCGCTCAACTTCTTCATCCAGACGGTGAAGCCCAAGGACACGGTGATGTGCTACCGCGTGCGCTGGGAGGAGCTGGCGGCCGGCCCGGCGGTGGAGCACACCATGTTCTGGGAGGATGCCCAATGGTACGGGGGCTCGGAGATGAGCACCCAGCACTGGCCCATCCGCCTGGCCGGCTACCAGGAGCCTGTGCCCTATGTGACGAGCGACGTCTCCTCCTTCCGCAACAGCTTCGGCGGCATCCTCGAGCGCTACTGGCTCTCCTCCAAGGCGGCGGCCATCAAGATCAACGACTCCGTGCCCTTCCACCTGGGCTTCAACGCCACCGAGCGCACCCTCTTCTTCCAGGCCCGCTACAAGGACTCGCCCTACAAGCCCCCGCCGGGGCAGCAGCCCTTCCCCGAGCTCAGCTACCGGGTCTGCGTGGGCTCCGACATCACCTCCATCCACAAGTACATGGTGCGCAGGTACTTCAACAAGCCCTCCAAGATCCCTGCTGAGAACGCCTTCCGATACCCCATCTGGTCCACCTGGGCCCTATACAAGAACAATATTGACCAGGATAAACTCTTGCGATTTGCCGAAAAGATCAAGAAGTACCGTTTCAACTGCAGCCACATTGAAATTGATGACAAGTACACGCAAGCCTATGGGGACTTTGACTTTGACCCTGTCAAGTTCCCCAATGTGACGGAGATGTTTGCAAAACTGAGGGAGGATGGGTTTAAGGTCACCTTGTGGACTCACCCTTTCATAAACTACAATTCCTCCAATTTCGGGGTGGGAATTGAGCGTCAGCTGTTCATCAAGGAGCCATCGGGGCGGCTGCCAGCCATGGTGGAGTGGTGGAACGGCATCGGGGCCATCCTGGACTTCACCAACCCAGCAGCCCGGGACTGGTTCCAGAGCCACCTGCGTCAGCTCCGACACAAGTACGGCATCTCGTCCTTCAAGTTCGACGCGGGCGAGACCAGCTACCTGCCCAAGCAGTTCAGCACCTTCCGCCCTCTCTCAGACCCCAGCATCTGGTCACGGCGATACACGGAGATGGCCATCCCCTTCTACGAGCTGGCCGAGGTGCGGGTGGGCTACCAGTCGCAGAACATCTCTTGCTTCTTCCGCATCATTGATCGTGACTCCGTCTGGGGCTATGAGCTCGGCCTCAAGTCCCTCATCCCCACGGTGCTCACCATCAGCATGCTGGGGT